AACACTGCAAACCACATTGTAATTCTCTGTAATGTGCTAAGAAATGCTGAAAAAAAACCCATTTGTATTGGAATCTTTTAAATTATTATTTTAAACATTGTATTAGTGTTACGGCCACAATCAGTGCACCTCTAGTGAGTTATGTTATTTTATCTCTATCCTTAAACCCACCATGTTTTGACCAGGTAAAGATCGGCAAGATATTCCCTTTGTGTTGTCGATTTGGCAATGCAAATCTATGAAGCAACGTGGTAATGTTCTAAAAATGAGTTCATTTCTCCGTATATACTTTGAAGCAGTGGTTCTCAACTGGTGGGTCAGAATGTGGGTCGCGGAACCCTTTTCAGTGGGTCGCGAATGTGTACCTTGGGGAAAAAAAAAAATCCCAGTCAATGAAGCACATATTAAACAAGTTTGTTCTGTTCTGTTTGTTTAATGTGTCACGTTTTTCTTAACTTCTGAAGTCGACGCGGCACAATCTGAGGCTAGACCAGTTGAGAACTACTGCTTTAAAGCAAAGGGAAACTGGAGTTCAGTCCCCGTCACATGTACGCAAACTTGGCCGATGAAGAACATTCTGATTGGTTTAATCAAAGAAAGCATCAACTTCCTCCCAGTCTCTGAGGGTGTCAGCACCTCTCTGCATAGGTGCTACTATAGGGAGTTCATTAATTGCCCTTTCTATGTAAAGCCCTCACTTGAAGTGTCATCACTTAACAGAAGTACTCCTGAGTGTCAGCTATACTAATACTTCTACTATAACAATGGGACATCCAGTAATGAACATGATGAGACCTCAGCTGTAGTGATGTAGGTGGTTATTTTAGTAAAGATGAGAAATAATCAGAGTTCGTTCAAACAGCAGCTCGGTTTGAGGCCTTTTCAGAGCACTTGATGAAATAGAGAGACTCGTACTTGTAACTGGAATGTTGCTGGCTTCAAGCCACACACCAGCTGGAAAAATATGGGAGGAGAAAGTGAAGCTGCAACTCACACAAGCTTTCCCAAACAGCTACTGTCCCTTAGAGCAAGCGGCTTAATTTCCCTGTATTGCTTTTGGTGCAGCTGCTCGTCGGCCGACAGCATGAGGATGATAAGAGTGTATAACAGGGAAAATACAAGAAGGCATGTGTAGGAAAATCTTCCCTGGGTAAATAAAGAGTCACACTCTTTCTACAGAAAACAATTTTTGTCCGAAATGCCGAATAGCCTTTCTGCCTTCTGCCCTTAACGCTGTTGTAATATCACTTAATCACTAAATCCCCATTAGGGTGAATTTAGAAAGTCATGCCGCGGAACGAAAAGCCAAACAAATCTGTAAATTCATGTTAAAGCAGATGAACAGAAGGATTGTGGATTAACGAGAGGGGATTTGCCACTCCGACGTCACTCACCGAGCAAATGGAGCAAATCAAACATCTTATTAATACTGTGACAGATGGATAATTGTGTCATTTTTATTATGCTCACTTGCTCGATACCCAAAGGGAGACTTCTGCGGGGTTTAAGCCACAGCCGCTAATTGTTTCACAGCTCTGATGTAAGGTGGAAACCTGACATCTCAAGGGGTCGACTGTTCGGTATTCCAGAAAAGTCTTCAGTGGGCATATTTACTTGAAAGTGTTTTGAATAGGAACTCCTGGGGAATATCAAGGAGCAATACTTGATCACAGGGTTTGTTTCTATTCCAATGAAGAAAGATTAAAACCTCCTCTAATGGACTCGCAGGATTTTCTCCTTTTCTCCTTGAAAAAGCCAGCGATAGCAGAACGGTTGCGCTTACACTCATCATTATTGAATCATCCCTAACATTGCTCTGATCACAATAAGGTGCCCTCGACGTAGAGGACCGCGTATGTTTGCATTGTCGATTTGCACAGGTAAGTAAGCAGCTTTTCTTTGAGACACGGGGGGGATTCAAAGCGAATAAACACGGCGTAATCAAACGCGACCACGGCTACAAATAGCTTTTGGCTGTTGCTGAACCGGTTACGGTAGCCGGGGAGACCTAAGCCTTCATCAAGAGGGGCCTGATCCTATCAGCGCGGAGCTGGAATATCAACAACACCAACAAGCGGATTGTGTTTAGAGTCAAAGAGCTGTGGAAGAAACCCCTAACCACGGGCTATAAGGAGCAGCTGTGAACTAGTTAGAGACCAAAATAGGACAATCGAATGACGCCAACAGTAACCCAAAGGTGACAGGGATTTTATGAAACATGTTCATCCTGAGGTGCTTCAGAGAGCAGCAAAGAGCTTAGATGGAGATTAACAGAAACATAGATCGAGTAAATATTGCCATGTGGGATGGTTGGACCCAGGGACGATGGGGTATTGATGTTGGCGGAATGCTAATGAGACAGAAGGCTGCATGTAAACTCAGACAATAAAACACAACTGTGTAGGCCATCAGTCACTTTGAAGAGGTCAGGAGGACCACACAGCCCTCCCGCCCTCTGCTGAGGGTGTGTGGGCTTATCAGAGCATGACACAATAGGTCAGAGCAATTCCCTGGCCAAATGCTGCTATGTCCTCCTCATAACTGATGAGCAATTAGCACAGGTAGCACAGGTCAGGAGCTCCACTCAGGCGCACAGTAAATGGGTGAAAAGCATGAGTCATTACAGATCAGCATGAGACATTTCCAGTGGGTACATTTTGCATTCATGGTGATGCAACTTATTAACTGGAAGCAAATGTGACTACCGCTGTCACTTACTGTAAACTGCACAACATATAAATCAAAATGAAAGTTGTTGTTTTTCTCCACATACAGGAAAATGAAGGGGCAAAGCACATAAACATTGCACGTCCTTTCATGTAATTGCACCAGATTCACCAACATCATTTAATAAGTGCAATCCATTTGCATGCAAATCAGACCAATTACCAACAAGTAGCAGGCATGTGAGTATCATTTCACATTGCAGCCTATCATGCCTCATTTGCTCAGCCTTGAAACATAAGCTCCTATGTGGAGCACATTGTGTTGATTCAACATGGATTTAGCACTTGAGGGAGAAAACTATTAACACGCTGCAATGTGTAAAACCAAAATTGGATAATTATTTAACTTAATTTCCTTTATAAACACAAAGTGGCAGCGTTTTCATGAAGATGAAGCGCCTGTGGAGAAAACCTTTTGATATGTGTAACCCTCCCCCCCTGCAACAGCAAACACGACATTAAGCAGGAGTAAAAGTGCAACTTGTGAACCCACATGACCTCCAACTGCAATAAACAAACATATATGACAATATTCATGGAAGTCATAGTGCAAGGGGGCTGTGATGACAGAAACGGAGACAACAGCATGCTGCCAGAAGATGCCAGGGAGAAGCACTTAGCCGCTGTGACATCCTCAAAGTCTTTCACAGTCAGCAGCTGTCAGAAGTGGCAGCCAGGCAGCACAAAGGGCAGAAATACTCACACATACAATATCAGAATGCGCTGTACTCATAAAAATCAGCGAGATGGGGTGCCGACACACAGATTGAATGCATATTTCATAACAAGTAGCACATTTAACTTATATGGAAGTGCTGCTGTAGCCTCCCTGTGGGGGAGTTTATCCTTGGATCTCCCCCTGTAATGTATCTTTATAGGATTTTATGAGGTTTAATATCTTTGATCAATAGCAGCTACAAAGATTCTCCCGTGGTTCTCCTTGGGAGAACCACGACTGAACGACAATAGTTTCTGTGGTTAGGGTTCATGCACACACATACTTCACACCAACACCTCTTCTGATTATTCGTCCGCTATCGGCTTTCACACCCACTTTAAGGGCAATGAAGCGCCGAGCTAAATGGAATAGCAATATAACCACAAATGACCCAGACAGGTTAGACTTGTTAACAGATGGAGGGAGGTAGTGAAGTGATCTTTCATTACGGGGATGAACAACTGGTTTATATTTCATGCACTTACAGTATGTTGTTGTAAATCTGCATTCAGGCGTTCCACTGACTAAGCGGGACGTAGGAGGCAAGAGTCAATCACGGCTTGACTAATACCAGTGCTCAGCCTACATGGGAGGTCGTCATTGGAATGAGGTGGCCTGTGCTATGATCCATGGGCTTTCAAATGAGGTCATCATTTTAAAATACACAGCCCTCAGTGGACTGGTAATATTTTAGCTATTTTTATGAAAGCTGGTGATTTATTTGTCTACTACAGAAGTGCTAACATTCCTCGAATGAGCCATGGGACTACAAAAAAACCCAACAACAACAGGTCTGTCAGTTAGCCTGCCGTCCCACAGGGAGCAATGTTTTATTTTTCATCTGGAGCGTAATGGGATAAAAGAGATAAGAGGATCTCACAAGAGGAGCTGCTTTCTTCCTGAAATCATTCCTCTAATGACAGAAACAGACAGGGTTATCAGCACATGGTATATCAGGCCTGTGACAGATGGAGGGTGCAAGAAGCAGTTTATCAAAGAGCAAAATGTCAAGAGTGCACTGACAACTCATAGTAGATCATAACAAGAAAGAAAAAAAAAAAACAATCCTGGCAGGAAAAACCCAAGCACCTGTTTGTTTTTCTCCTCAAACCAGAAGCTGCCAATGATTAACATCTAATTCATGAAGCCTTGAACTTGTAGCTTCTGCAAACACAAGCCGGGGTGCTGCAGAGGTTTTCAAACACCAAACAGACACACATTAAGCTCCACAAACCACAAATCAAAGGTACATTAGAGGTGGTTTATGGATTAAATATTAAAATCCACAGTTGTCAACAAGCCTGCCTGGTGGGAATCAAACCAGGCATCTTCAGAAGCTTTCAGATTCCCACATCAGATGATTAGGAAAGCCATCCTTATCAGTATCTAATTGGCATCATCTCAAGTCAATTAGAGACAAATTAAAGTAGTCCTTTTGCTGCTGGTGAGTCTCAAGGACCCCCACTTTGAGGACCACTCCACTGATGAAGAATGCAGCCCCCAAACCCCCCCCCCCCCCCCCAAACCAAACAGGTAATGATCCGGCTCCTCCTTACCTCCAGACGGTCCAGGCTGATGAAACTGGTGATAGCAAATCCATCAATGATATCCTCCTCCTGAGAGCTGGACTCGCGTCTCTTCCGCCGGGGGGGACGCGGTGCTCTGGCGGCGGCTGCGGGGTGCGGCGCCTTCTTACCGGGCAGGGAGGCGGCGTCCCTCCCCGGACTGTGTCCCTCCCTGTCGGAGCAGGAGGAGTTGGGGTCGGGGCTGCGGGCGTCTCTGCTTCCTGCCTCCCGCAACCTCCGCACCCTCTCCCGCTTGGACCGGCATCTCCTGCCCGGCTTCAATTTGCCATCCATGTTGTCAGAGGGAGCTTGTAGTGTCAAAAAGCGAGATAAATATAACTCCACAGTAGGTGCTCAGTTAAACGCTCGCTGCAGCGCCTAATAACAAAATAACACACAGAGGACTGAGAACTGGACGCTGCGCTATAACGTGAAGATAGCGCTATGTGTTTGTGTGCGCGCAGATATGTGTGTAAATAACAAATATAGCCTTAAAATACTCAATGACCTTGAGTACAAACCTCCCCTATCTCCATTACGATAAGCAAATGTTCAAGTATCGCACTCAGCCGATAGAGAGAGGGAGCAAAGCGACGCGGATCCACGCGTTATATTGTCACGAATCTGCACTATGTCGACGCGGTGTCCGTAAAAGCAGGTGCAAAACGGCGAAACAGTGAAAATCCACGCATTACACTCGCTTTGTAACTTTTGTTGCATCGGAATAATAGCGCGCAGTGTCACAGCCGAACCTCGCTGCATACCGCAGACAGCGCAGAGAAATCATGTCGCTGCCCGTTGTTGTTTTCCACCTCCCCAATCCATGATCCAAGGCTGTCAAATAAAGAGCTCGGGATACTATCCGTCCGAGACGAAACGCCTGGCGAACAAGCACGCATCGACTGTAGCTGTCGGATGGCTGAATAATCCCGAGTTTTTCAAGGCATATTCCTTCCCTGCGCTTCAGGAGCGAAAGGGATCCCAAGTCTGAGAGCGACTTCTACGCAATATTCCCCTAAAATGATCCAGAACCGTCCGAATAAGACAACCATCCAGTGTGAAATCAAACTCCACAAGGCAATGAGGCGGTCTATTCCAGTTTAGATCATGCAGAGTTTCCTATAAATCCACTCCAGTCCCGTCCCTGTGCTGCTCAGTTGCCCAGTGGCTCATGGTATTTTCTATTCGCATAAGAAGGCTTTGATAAGTGTCCTTAAAGCGACAGGAGTGATTAAAATCTCCTCTCTCCCCCCCTCTCTCGTTCCCTTCATCCGAAATTAAGAGACACAGTCAAGCTTCAGAGAACCCACAGAACTGACGTATTTCCGCCACCTCTGGCTTACAATTTAGCATAGGAGGGAGGCTGGTGTAGAAAAAAAAAAGGAAAATCATTCTCTCTCTCTCTCTGTTGGGCACAGTTTGTCACACAAGGCACTATTTTAGTCTGTCTGTTCCCAGAGCTGATGCCACATCATGCGTGTCCTACTGACTGTGCTGTCACTAGTCGAAAATGCAGGACACACACACACACACACACACACACGCGCGCGCGCGCGCGCGCACACACACACACACACACACACATACACTCATCTATCAGGTTTTGACAACTTCTCCATTCTCATCCTGTTGGCTGCTGCCGTCACCCCCCAACAATCAAAATTCTCAAGTAGACAACTAAAAGTCAACAGTTGCATTTTATTGTCACATTGATGTCATAAATTCTGCAGGTGTACAGCAAATATTTGCAAAATTGGTTTGCCACACGTACCTTGCACTGTGGCCCTTGTTTGTTACAAACTGGAGCAGGTTGGTGTGTTTCCAGGTCTCTGGTGTTGGGACATCCAGGGAGTCCTCTGCAGAGTAAAGCCCAGTTTCATTTATCCACATTTCAATTGACAGAAATTAGGGGCAATGACATTACATAATCACGGTATTGTGTAACATGTTTCCATTATAGCACTCACTGCCCGTTCTGTATTATAACCCCACATACAATTCTTTGGATACTAAGAATTTAGGAATGAAAACCAAACTTTAAAAATGTTTACAATGGGGTATTTTATTGTCTTAAGAGGTATTAATATGCAAAACTTCATTGATCCCAGCCTTAGATTCAATTCACACTGTATGCACAGTATATGTAATGGCTCCAACATGTGGCAGAAACAATAGTTAATAAAGAAATGTATCTAGTGGAAATTATCCAACATATGGACTCTTCCCATCATTGTATCCCATATTAAACTAAAGTATGATACTAATGCACCCTATAACATGATTTCCACATGATAAATTAACCTCCTCAAAAAGGATCTGAGTAACTCAATGACAAAGTTTGTAGGTAAAGTTAACTTTCAGAGAGTCCTGATATCAAGTTGCAGGAACAAGGGGGGTGTCGCATGGTTAGTATTTGCATTTCCTTAAACACACACACTCTCTCTCTCTCTCTCTCTCTCTCTCTCTCTCTCTCTCTCTCTCTCTCTTTCTCTCAGTCCAAGCACCAAAGGTAACCTGTCAGGTATATTTGTTTATGTATTTAAATTTGTGCCATTATATTGATTTATTGGTATATATACAGTCTATATATTTAGATCTGGTTTCTCATTTGGCGTCCTGTTCGTCTGCTCATCTGTTGCTTGTGTATTTAATTGTCCGAGTGATGCTGTGAACTGTTTGTTTCCTTTAAATTGTCTGGACTTCTGTTCATGACTTATTAGGCTGTGAAAATTGAATTTCCCTTCTGAGATGAATAAAGTTGTCTCAATGTGACTCCGATAATAAGCAACTTGCTGTAGCTGCGTTTCTTTGTAGCTTATCAAAGAAAATACATGAAACTGCCAAGCCATGTGTACACACTAACACACCTTAAGTAAATTGTGTAACACCTACAATCAAATATGACAGTATGTGAAGTATAGCATAAAGACAAAATGAATTCACATCCTGTATGGTGCGAATACATGCTTATAATAAAGCACCTGTGTCTATTAAGGATAAGAGGCTCATCCTATTGGCTATCTAATAAGATGAGGAGCCTATAATCAACATCATGACTTCTTGCAGTTCTCATTAGTAGCAGTCAGATGGGAAGTAATGGGAGGAATGTAGTTGATGAACTATTAATATCCGAGGCTTATTGGTAACGATCACATGCAGAGGTGTGCAAACTGAAAGAAAAAATTACAATATGCAGCTGGAAGGATTGCATGTAAGAATCCTCTGGCTCATTATCTGATCTTCACAGTGCAGGAAGCAGTGAAAGCAGAGCTGCGAGAGCTGGACTGAAATATTTAGGCAGTTAGTGTGCAGTGGTTCAGGTTTGGAAATGTTCTTTTATGGCGACAGTCTTCTGTGAAACTGCAAGTAAACTCAGGGAAATGCAAAACCAAACTACTTTTATGCAAATACAGTAGGCTGCAGGGTAAATTATCCCGAGCGGTGTAGGTGATTAAACCACAGACTGCACCGCGTGAGAGTGATGAAGTTTTTATGGTACACTGCTGCACGCGGATACACTGTGTAATCTATACACAGGATATCAAAATGTTATACTTGTGCTTGCAGCAGTAGGCTGCAGGTCGAGGTCTGCGGCTAAAAATGCACTTACATCTAAACAGCAATTTAAGGATGGAAGCAAGTGTACTTGGAGAGCAATAACCAGGTGAGTAGGGCATAAATCTGTGAACAAATTGACCTTTTGGGAACTTGAGACGATATCATTTTCATGTAACTTTAACCTCTGTAACCCACTGTGAATAAACCCCTCTCTGTTTGAGCAGCTTTGCAATAACTAATTCAGTAAGGAGATTAAAAAAAACGGGGGAACAGGTATGGTGAGAGGGCCGCGGAGGAGAGGGAAGAGATTACCTCTGTTTTTTCCATGCTACTATTTGCTGTGAGCTTAATCCATAGCCACAGACTCTGAGCTCCCACATCGCAGTCATTCAAACACTAGTCCCTTTGAAACGCTTAGCCCCGACTGCGCTGGAAGCTAAAGGGAGGGAGCCTGTCACGCTTTTATGATGTTTAAGCGTCAGAATTGTTTTTCTTTGCCTCTGCCACCACGATAAGGATTCATTTGATGTCGCTGGGGTCAAGGTGCTTCTTGCTTAAAGGGCTATTTTCCATTGAGATAGTTCTAAGAGTGTGCTGTGTGCTGTAGACATGGGATTTAAAGGTGAACGATCTGAAGCAAGCAATAAAAAAAGAAATCTCTCCTCTCAAGTACAGAGCGTATCCTTTGTAAGGAATATAGCCCCACAGAAATCAATAAGCCTAGATTTCACACTAGAACAGCACACAGCTGTAAGACACAAATCCCTACTCTGCTGTAAAGAAAATAAACTCTGTTAGTTTACAACATCATTTGTGCACAGTCAGTTTATAAGGAACAAATTCATCTTCCGTTAGCTTCTGATAATGGTTTAACTGGCAGATTTTGTTCTGCTGTGTGGGCCTGCAGCACTTTGTCAGAGCAGGACATCAATATTAGATTACTGTTGATGCATTTTCCACTGGAACTGGTTGCCAAGTAAACTTGTGTTGACTACTGTGATGTTTGAGAATTGAGACCGACACTCTATATGGTGGGGCAAAGCATGGTTTGAAAAATCTCAAATGAATATTAAACCACTGTTTGACCAAAATAACGCTACCTTATTACTGTTGTCCTGACTTATGTGATAGAATTAGTGAATTGTTGGTGCAAAATATCAATATATGGCAATAAGACTGACTGTGTTACTACTTTATGACTCCTCACAGTGGCGCTTATAATGTCGGACAGCGGTGAAAAGAAGTTAAGAGATGATAAGACGTGAAGTTGAATCCAAAGTGCAGCAAAAAAATGCTTACATTCAGCGCTTTACCATTGTAGGTGGATTTTATATTCTGCAGTTAAACAACAGTTGTCTTCTTTTTGCAATACAGCAATAATCACAGTATCACTGTATCATGGTATTATTGTTATTAGAGGCCACATATTGAATATCACTATGTATTGTGACTTACCCTGGTGAGTCCCTCCCCTCTTGACCATAAAGCCAATCAGCAGCTCTTGAGTCTGTAGCATGCTCCCAGTAATCACATCCCATTGGCTGGTCCATTTCAAGTTAAAAAAGAAAGCATGTTTCTCATCATGAATAGTGTACGATTGAATGAATTGTGAATTCAGAATCATCACTCAGCAGATCCAGCAGCTCCGGATGTAAAGCTACAGAGATTAGCTTCTCTTTTGGGGGCATTTATAAGAGATGGAGAATGCTTGACCTGTGAGGGTTTACTGCAGGTACTGTTAAACAACTATTAGGCATTCAAGTCCTTTGTCTTAGCTCCTTCAATGAGGATTAGAGCGATTAGCTGGTTTCAGTGAAATCATTTATAATTTGACAAGACAAGAGGTTCAAATTAACAAAATAATTCCAGATATGCTAGACACTAAAACAGCAGCACTCTAATCCAGCTGGGTGTTTAATTTTGGATCAAGCCTGATCCCACTTGTAGTCATGTACCTCCTTTAGAAAATTTGACTCTCTTACAAAACCATCAGTCTTCCCGTTGCTTCCTGTTGTGAACTGTGATAACAAGTAGACTCAGAGTTTGTTGGCTTGTCTGTATAGAAAATTGCAGGTTCCACTGTTTCCACAGGGTCAGGGGTTAAGCATGGCCCTTACCTCT